CCGCCCCTCAACCACGACCATCCGCGGCCAGTGTTCCCTGCCGGACCTCAACCGCGAGCTCCAGGCCCGAGTGTTCCCTGCCGGACCTCAACCACAGCACACAACCGCAACCACAATCACAAAAACCACAAACACACAACCACAAAAACACAACCACAAACACACAACAACAAACACACAACACAAAAACACAACCACAAACACACAACCACAAACACAACCGCAAACACAAAACCACAAACACAACCACAAAGACACAACCACAAACACACAACCACAAACACACAACCACAAACACAACCACAACCACAACGCAGCACACAACCACAACCACAACACACAGCCACAGCGCACAACCCGAGGAAACACAAGCAAAACCGAGAACTACAATACTCACGCATCAAGACAAATGATTGAAATGTCATGCCGGGGATCACTCGAAGTAAAGTAATTTAGTTTGTTTTCCACTTCGAGCTCGATTACCCGTTCCTGAAAACAGATACAGCTTTGGCCGAGAGATTTGAAGAGTGCAGGTGATACCATCTTGTCCATAGTGGACTCTGGAACGGGAATGGCTTTGGCATTTAGCATGTCGGCAAAGAATCTTGGAATTCCCTATGTGGTGAAGGTCATTACCTCATTCATCTCACAGCTGGGCTACGACACCGTGACGCGCCATCAAGAAGGTGAAAGGCCAGATTGCAGAAGCCCTTCGAAAAGGCGAAGCGCCACGAGCAGCAGGGCTCAAGATCATCTTTGAGGAAGTCCCTCGCTACAGCTCACAAAGCTTGGGATCTATGGGAGCCTTCCAAAGCTGCTGAGAGGTGATGTGCTCACACTGCGCTATGCCGTGGAGGCAGAGTACGGCATCACTTTAACTTTGCACACCTCACACAATCTGTGGCCTTGGCTGGTGCGCTACTGCTCGTTCATCAGGAGTCGATATGCAGTGAAAGCCAATAAGCGCACAGCCTACCAGGACGCCTTCGATTGCCAGTCCAGTTCACTTCTCATTCCGTTTGCAGAGACAGTCCTCTGCCTCTTCCCGACTCCTATGAGTAAGGCCAGACGGGCGCATGGGAGAAATGTGATGAGAAAGGGAGAGACGGCTTGGGTGAAGGGCATCTAACCTGGGAGGAGCGTGACCAGCAATGAGTACCTCCTCGGCACACCTGTGTCTGCCAGGACAGTGAGACGATTTGCTGATCCTGCGAAAGCCCATCACCGTGAGTTGATGGAAGCCATGATTGGAGTGCCATGATCAGGGCACTACAATCCACAGACCGAAGGGGAAGCTGGAAACCGTGGTTCCCATGACACCGATGAGAAGAAGGCCAAGACCAAGCAAGCCCTTGGAGAAGGAGATCGATGAGCCTAAAACCACTCTCAACCAAGGCGGACCATCAAGTGGCAGCGGACGGCAAGATGAGCCGGTCATTGTGTCTGAGAAGCTGCCAGCATTGTTGAGCCCTCAGCTGAGGCGATGGAGTCCCAATGGAGCAGCAGCCAATGTCAGCAAGACATGCCTGGCCTGAAGGAGGCTTAGACAAGCGTGCACGCGTGGCAGGAGTTATGTGGGAGCACTCTACACCCCTACCAAGGACATGGTTAGCCGCTGACAGAGGAAGAGCGCTGGTTGATGTGATTGGCGTCCAGATGGGCTACTCGTTCATGAGTGGTGACGCAGAGCAGGTGCCCATCAAGGAGGATGCCTACATGCTTCCGCCTAAGGACTGGATTGAGAAGCAGCTGGAAGCTGGAGTCGAGTTGCCAGACAAGGTGGTGTGGAAGCGCAAGAAGGAGTGGTATGGTCGAAGGATTGCAGGCCAATGTTTCGTGGAACGCGCAGCTGGACGTGTCAAGGAGCTGGGATTCACCAGGAACGTGGCAGCTCCATGGCTTTTCCACGACACCACCAAGGGTATCTTGATGGAAGTCCACACAGATGATTTCTTTGCAACAAGACCACAGAAGTCCCTTGTGGAGTTGGAGAAGGAGTTGCACCAGAGGATCAAGATGAAGAGCCAGATCCACCCTCTTGTGGAAGGTGAGAAGTTTACGCGTTTGAAGCGAACTCGAGAGATCTTCAACGATGGCATCTTCATCACGCCAAGGGTAAAGCACATCACTGATTTGCTCAAGATGCTGAACTTGGAGCAGGGCAATCATGGAGATGTGAAGGATGTAGCCAAGCTGAATGAGGCCAACGCCAGCAGGTTGGCGGAACCAGCCACCAAAGTATCCGGCGGCTGGCGGAATCAGCCACCTAAAGTATCCGGCGGCTGGCGGAATCAGCCACCTAAAGTATCCGGCGGCTGGCGGCTGGCGGAATCGGACTTAGGCCCCGAACTTCAGGGTTTATAGCAATCTAGCATTTCAACATGGGGACTGCATTCAGGAGCCTCTTTCTATCGATTGGATGGAGATGCCAACGAGATTCAAAGGTCAACACCTCAAGCCTCTGCCGCACGCTGGTGGTACAGCCGTACACTGTGCAGTTTGCATGGTACTATTTTACCGTAAAGGAAGAAGGGCCAGAACCACAACCCTAGAAGTCCAAAGACTATATTTTGACTCACTGAAGGTTTCAGGAAATTCCTGGACTCAGGTCACTTAGTCAGACCATACTTGTTGTAATCTTTGGCTCCCAGGGACAAGTGTTCTTCCACGCAATCACCCCACCAGCGCCCGCACCAGGTGCCGCCGAGATCTCCGAAACCACAGGTGCCGAGCTCCGCGTCTGCGCGTGATGGTGTGGGGCGAGCTTTCAGAGTATCCTCGGATGCCACCCGAAAACAGACATGAAAAAGACCGGTTTTCACATAGAACATGTTTTTCCTTCGAAAAACCAGGTGTTTGATGGGCTCTATTTGTTGGGTTCCCCCTACCTACGGTGGGGCTTTGTCGGACTGCGTGGGGAGCATTGGACCGGAGCGCGGTAACCGCGAGGTGACCGGCGACCTCGAAGAGGGCCGGGACCGACTGCCACAAGTGCTCGGCTGGGATGGAACCCGTGGATGAGATCGTTTTCGACCAAAGGGGTGGTATGTTCCACGAAACCATGATGATTTCAGGGAGGGTCAGGGTGCTGACCTCTTCCAAGTGGAAATTGTAGGAGGGCAACGAAAGAAGGCGACGCATCTTCCGACTGCCTCCTGGAATCTGCAGGCTTCAAGCATGAGAGCTGGCAGAGAGATGCAGAACCAGTAGAGCAAGAAGGCAGGCAGAACGGCTTGGTACTTGCCACATTCTTGGTGCAGTGGACCCTTTGCGTTTTGCTGAGCTACAGGGATCCAGTCGAAGCAGCCTTGCTTGTGCACAACGTAGGTGGAAGACCAGAAACATGGCAAAGACCTTCTGAACCTTCGCCAGTGGAAGAAGGCAGCTGGCCATGATTTGCAGATACCAGCAGCTTTTAGTGTTTCTCGTGTGAGTCTGAGTAGCTAGTAATTTAGTAACCGTTTTTCATGTGGTGTCCATTCTTTGAGAAGAAGAGACAGTGACTCGTTGAAGACTGTTGAAGTGGCCTTGTGTGTGCACAAGCTAGGTCGAAGACCAGAATCATG